TGTGGAAAGGATTCTAGCAGCCAACCTCAAAGGAGAAAAGTGGAGAGGCTTTGCATGTAGCTGGGCAACTAAAACTGCCTCCTGCTTTGTTGCTATTACAGCCCAGAAGGGAAGACAAAGGCCTGGAGGTGGACACCCCACTGAGCTCTGTGCGTGTTAGCCATTTATCTGGCCATTTGACTTATGCAGCTGCTGTTTCCAGAGTTGCTTGACTGTACCGGGCTGCCACATCTCCACATCTCTGGTGAGCATCTCCTGTCATGTACTCTGCTGGCCCTGTGAGTTGGATCCCGGCCTCCTATCTGGTGCCACATGCTCCATGCCCTCAGTGGCAGGAAGACATAGTTCTAGCCCTTCTGTTGGGAATACATGTTCCAGTTCTTCATGGAGGGAAGAGGCCACTTATAGAATGTGGCATTTTTTTCTGGATACTTGTTCCATGTTCCTTAGTGGGAATGTGCATCTTAGTTGCCTTTGTTTAGGTCATCAAAACACTGGATACTAACTGGGGTGAGGTAACTGGCCACTCACACCCTCAGTGGTTCCTTTTTTTTTAACCTTGCTTTTTTTTTTTCTTTTAAGATTTATCTATGCACACAAGAGCCGGGACACAGGTCAGAGATGAAGGGGGTGAGAGGATCCACCAGAATGGGGAACAGAACAGGCAGACCAACCGAAACACACTGCTGGGGGGAGCAGCAGGCTTGACAGGAGAGGTCTGCCTTGCCATGTGGGTTGCTCCCTGGCTGGCCAGAGATCGAGCTCGTATTGCAGAGGCTGCAGATTGCTCCACAGTGCGGTGTTCAACCCCTTGTGCCACCAGGGACACCCTTACCTTTCTTTTAAACAGATCCCACTATTATATTTTTCTGAAACTGAGGGGTCTTGCAATTGTGTACACAGGTGAAGAACTCAGTCAGTGACTACTAAACTATTTGGGCACTGTCCTTGGCCAGAGCTAATGCCCTTTGTTCCCCGCTATTAGTTGCCGAGAAATCCAGGAAGGGGCACCTGTGGCTGACCAGCCTTAGTGTCCTCTCTTGCGTTAGTCACCTTAAAGCCCAGAGCAAATGCAAGAAGCTTGGCAAAACTGATTTGGAGGGCGCAAGGGGTTAAGCACTGCACCACAAAGCAATCTGCAGGCTCTGCAGCACGAGTTTGATCCCCGGCCGGCCAGGGAGCAACCCACATGGCGAGGCAGACCTCTCCTGTACTGCCCACTGCTCCCCTCAGCAGTGTATTTCAGTCAGTCTGCCTGTTCTGTACCCCACTTTGTCTCTGGTGGATCCTCTCACCCCCTGCATCTCTGGCCTATAACCCAGCTCTTGTATGCATAAATAAATCTTAAAAAAACTGATTTGGAAAAACAAAATTTAAATACTAGTTATAAGTTCACCTGTCACTTTGGATGGTTCTGTTTCTCCTTCACCCCCTGCTACTTCTACTTTGTCAATCATAAGTTTTGAGTTCACATGTTTTATTGCTGCACCTCCCCCTGCAGTGACCCTCAGGGCTAATGGCTGTTGCCATGGTCCCTGAGGTCCGGTGTGGGCAAGGAACCATGCGCGCAGGGGGAGAACAGCAAACTCCCTAAGATGCAGAGAAGCTGAATGCCTGCCAAGAGATAACGACCACCAGAAGCTGCCACAAAGATGATTAAAAGAAATGCTGACCACCTGGAACCTTATCTCGCTTTCTCAAGGCCCACAAACTTTATTCTGCTACAACTGTCTCTCTAAAATCTTTCCTTTTTCTGGTCATTGATTGCTAATTAAAAAACATACGTAATTTAATAATTAGGCTAATGCAAATGAAACATTACTAAACACTGTGTTATAATAGAATTGTTAGTTTAATAATCTTTCTATTATGTGCTTAACTTTAGTACCTTTGATATTAACTGCATTATAATATAAATTCACCCATGACAATTAATTATGAGTAAACGTAAGTAGGTAGTAGTAGTAGTAATTAGTACAAGAATATAGAAAGAGTTAATAGCCTGTCTACTTAGGAATGCAGCTAGGTCCAGATGTATTTTGGACATAAATCACTGCCCTGTCAATGATAAGCTAAACCTATGAGCAAGCTGATTTCTTTGATGTTCACTGATCCTATGCCTTTAGAAAAAACATATATATACTGACCACTGACTAAAATAAAGTGCACTCAGATTTACGCTTTCATGAAGTGTGTCTGTTTGTCATTTCTTTAACCGAATCCCTGACTACCCTGCGCAGTCTCTCAACCCTGAGAGGGCCTCATCGTCTACTGCTGTGCTGGTCCGCGGCATTTTATAAAATGTGATAATGACAAATTAGTGTCTTTGTTGCTGGGGATTGTATGGGCATAGAGTGGAAATCTGTCCATACACACTGGATTTATGTTTATGGGAGTCCTCATGTTTATGTTGGGTGCGGTTCTGTGAGTGTTCATGTGGGAAAGCTCAGGAGGCGCACAGTTGCCAGAATTTGAGTTTGTGGATTCTAGTAACAGTCCAGCCATCCCAGAGTCCTGGGTAAGGCCCCTGTGCTTCTGCTCTATCATAGTCCATCCATGGGCAATGATGGGGTTTTTGGAAAAGTGGCCGTTATCTAGGGGGCTGGATTTGAATGTTGGCCAGTAGATCCATGGTCACATGGAGGGAGATCTACATAGACACTGCCAGGTGGACACATGGCTGCAGTGCCACAGGGCACACACCATGAGACACCCTTTCACCCAGCTGAGACATAGGAGCAGGCTGCAAAGACATCCTGCTAGAAGGACTTGAGAAATCTAGAACTCCAGATTAACACATGGTCATGGAGTGTTCCCAGCAGCCACTTTCTCATGCTGCCAGTCATGTGCTGGGTAGGAACATGGCTGACCCACCAGGTTTTCACCAATGTCATCCTGTGCCTTCCCTCCAAAATTTCCCTGAAACTTTACCTTCTCCCACACACACACACACACACACACACACACACACACACTATGAGGGAAAAGGAGTGCGGGGTGCTCAGGAGGGATCACAGGTGTATTCTTAACACCTGGGAAACCAGAGAGAATGGCAATGAGGACTGAGCCAGCAATGGGAACCATCAACAAGACTTATGCTCTGGGTTGTCATGAATCTAGAGCTTCTAAGTTTCAGGTGCCAACAGCAGAACATCTTCTGCTGACTGTGTCCAGTCAACTGAGCTGGTCCAGTACTGTAACTAGGATGTAGTTGCCTGGTTCAAAGAGTTCTAAGTTCTATGGTGTCCATCACCAGGAAGTGAGGTCACTTGTTCAAGGATCCATTACCTGTTGGCTTCCTTCAATCTGAGCTCCACAAAGTTCAGTCTATGCTATTGTTGTAGAAATAAATTCTAGCCTTTTACCTGGTCAGAGGAAGAACAGGAATGGTGAGGTCAGGAGAAACTTTATTACTCATGCATGGGGTCCCAGACCTGGGTAGTCCCAAAGGTCTGAGCACCTGTTTAAAGACCAAGGGTTCCTTTCACACACAACTGTGTCCATATCTGTAACATTGATAACATCGTTTTTCAGCAGGCACAACCAATTGCAGCAAATTCCCCAGACAAGGGGGGCAAGGCAAGGGGGGAAAGATGCAGGCATTCGGGGATGGCCTTGAAGAGAGAGACCAGCTTGGTTGGCTGCCCGACCTTGTAGATAAGAGTGCTGAGTCCCTGGTCATGAATCTTGAAAGGGAAGGCGCTGTAAGTAAGCAAACTTGTTGATTATGCCTGCACTGGAATGTTCATTGCCCCTGGGCTGGAAGTTCTGCTGTAATCTTTATTACATTCATTTGCTCAATAATATATTTTCTCATCACTATTGACCTTATTCCCCCAAGAAATCCTTAATGTACACACTGATCCAAAACACGCCTCATTGTAGGTATCCTGGAAGTGAAGATGGTCCTGAGATGAGGGTCTGGTCTGAATTCAGGCCTCCTTTCCTTAGGCTCTGTGTCCTTGAAATATACTGTTTCTCTCAGGCACCCCCTGTTTCCAAGCACAGTGGGGTCCATCAGAATCACCTTCTGGGTACAGCATCTGTTTTGTTTGATATTATCTCAACACTTGTGGTCCGGCAGACACAGGTGCAGGAACAGGTAGGGGAGCACTGCTGAGACAGGAGTGGGCACCAGCCTGGGCATATTGTAACTTTCACTTCCCAGTGTCTGGGAAGTGACACTGGTTGCAGTGTCTGTTCCCCAAGGGAGTTGAAATTAATGTGAATTCAGATATTGCCAATTTCTGGCATAAAGAATAGAAATGTTTCCTATTCAAATGGGAATGAGACTCAAAGACTTCATCCTTACCCCAAATGAGGATGGAATCCACAGTGGCTCCCACGATCCCCATCCAGAACATACACATGCCATGCTCACCACAAAGTGGTCAGCGCCTGGATACTGACTAACAGAATACAACTAAATGGGGTGGATTCTGTGGCTATATTTAAACATCAAAATATATCTCCCTTCAATATAAATCCACCACCTTCCTTCCCGAGCTCCTTCTTTTCTTCACCAGATGCCATTCTCTTGCATATTCCCACATCCCTGAACCTAGGAAGATGAGCACAGATGTGATCTGCCCTATGCAGAGACCACATAGGAGAGCTTCCAGGCAGTGCTCAGGACACCACACAGGGTAGAACTCAGGCACTTTGTCCAAACTTCAACTTAAATCCTGGGGGTGAATTTGGGTCTAAATCCTTGGCCTCTGAGACAGCTGAGGCTGCAGAACAAATCCCACCATATCCAGACAGTTGGCTCACACACAGTATGAGATAGTCACTAAGGTTAAGGTACAAGTATTGGGGCAGTGCTGTTGAAAGGAACAGAAGCCAAACAGTCTCTCAGGCCCCAGGTGTAGGCCCTGTCCTCCCCCCATCCTATGACCCTCTCCCTCGGGCCTTCCTCCTTCCTCCCTCCTGTGCCCTGTCTCCCCCCATGTCCCCTGCAGTGATGCTGTCTGACTCTAACTGCCTCTGAAGAAACTCACTTCTGCAGTAGTGGTGTTTCTCCCTGATATGCTGTCCCACCCTGTGGAGGGCTGGCTCCCTGCTGTCATCAGCGAGGACACAGACACCCCTCCCATGAGAACCCAGACCTCCCTCTTTGCACACACTGTGATTCCAGAAGGGCACGAGCTCGTGTCATTCACATCTTCATTTTCATGCTCTGACATGTCCCTTTCACACCTTCAGCTCCAGAATGGCAGGGTCTGGTGAGGGTGATGTTAAGACACAGCTGGACCGTACAGGTTACCTGGCACAGGGACAGTGTTGGCCCCAAGTGAGAAGCTTTTGGAGACTCTTCTCTCTAGTCAGCTACATGGCACCGACTCATCCTGGTCACAGGAGGTCAAGGTGTATCTGAAGCAGGGGTCATCACAATGGGCTCTCAGTGACCATATGCCCCAGTAAAGCTCAGAAGACACCCCTGGCACAGGAGACCCGCTGGCCCCCTGTGGCCGGAACTAGCAGCCCCAGGCCTGGACACACCAAGGAACCTGGCATCTTTACTTGGCTGTCAAGGCCATGGGTTTCTGGAGCCTGGATGCAATTCAGCAGACTCATCAGCCTGTCAGGGAAGATCCCCCCTTACTTTGTTTAGCATCCCAGAAGTCCTATTTATTGAGGAGGAATTATCCTTAGCCAGGCCTACATTTGCCCCAACACCAATGGCGTTTCTGTTGAAACCACTGTTTCAACAGAAAAATTTAACCACTGTTAATTTAGCTCTGGTTACACCACGGTTTCTTTTCCCAGGGAGCCATAATGAGGAATTCAAAGTCTTTTCAGGTAAGTAAGAAGAGAGAGCAACCTTATTCAAGATAATAAGCAAGCCTTATTCAAGAAAATAAAGTTTATTTTGAGGAAAAAGAACAAGAGCAAGGACTCCAAGGCAGCGATGCCAGGGAGGGGCAAGAGACACCATTATGGGCCCATGTCTAGGGGATATTTAAGACCCCTTTTCTCTATTTTAAAACCTGCTCATCCTATTTTGTGATTGGCTCTTTCTCCTAGTGTCTATATGCCTGCAGGCTGAAGTGCCCATTTACTCAGCTCTTGTTTTAGAATTTCTCTTTTTATCCTCCCTGTCCAAGGGCTCTTAAAATGTACTGTCCCAATTAGCCTTAAATATTAACCTTAAAATTTACTGCCCTCATTAGCCCTCCTGAATTTCTCTACCCTCTTCTCAGAAGCCTCTTGAACTCTCCAAAGTCCCTGTCTGTGCTGTCCCTGAAGCTTCCCAATTAACCCTAACTTGCCCTGGCACTCATCCCCCTTTGCAGATGGAGCCCCTGACTGCTGTTAGGACAAAGGGCGTCGGTCTGCTCTGTAACTGCTTCCTGCTGGAAAAGGGCGACATGGGGAAGCAGTCAGGGCTCCACCGCAGGGCGACGTGCTCAGGGACCTCAGAGGAAGGACGATGGGGGCATCATACCGGGCTCCATCTGATGGACCATTTGGAGCCTGATGGCTTCCAGGTGAGAGAAGATGATTCTGACAAGGGCGCTGAGGACACAGGGTCCGCACAAGAGAATAATAAAGAAAATTAGTACGGGAATGAGCAAGGGGAGCAACCAGGACAAAAATTGATTTCCTGCCAGAGGGAAAAATTGATTGTAGCCAGCTAGGCCCTTGTCCTGCCTGTCTTTATATTTTGTCTGTAATACAGATGTTTTCTTTAATACCTCCAGGTTTCTTCTACCTCACTAGATGTTTAATCCAAAAATAACATGTTTCATTTATGAGGGCACAGCCTCATCCGACTTTAGCCATCAGCAGGTCTAGAGCTCTAAGATTCTGTATAACTACTGAGGCGCCGGGATTCAGAGAGTGTTGTTGAGCCTCTGTAGCATGTGCTGTGGCCGTCCGCCCTGGCTGTACCATAGCAGTCAGATTTAGCGCTGATTTTCCCAGACATAGAATTCCTTCAAACCAAAAGAAACCACAAGCAGTAGTATGGCCAAGGCCAGGATATTCTAAAAGAGGGTCCTCCACAGTCACAGTTGGAGAGATCTTAAAAAAGGGCATATTGATTTCCCTCTTACATCTGGAAGACAAGGATCATTCAAGAATCCTTGTTCAAAGATTGTTCAGGAATAGCCTCAACTGGAGATATTTCCTGAAGATGATGTTTGGGATGGGTTGATAAAAGTGACATAAGGCATGACAGCTACAATGGTATAGCACCCTTTCCAGTGTTGAGGGAGGATAATATATAAGTTTCAGCCAAAAAGAAAAAAAATGCCCTGCATTTTCTAATGAAATGTCAATAGTGGTTCCCTCTGGCCATGCCTTTGTAAATGAATTCCCGGAGAACTGGGGGACAGACAATTATTTGACAAAGTCTCTCCCTCTCTGAGATAGTTGGGGTAAAATCATTTGCACATGTGAGAGAGGAGTGTGATCTATTTAAGTTATGAATGTGCCAGGGGCTATTGCAGAGATAATTATGTACAATAAACTGGAGAACAGTGAGTTTAGGAAAGGGGAAATAAATGGGGTCAGCCTCCCTGATCTATTCCTCCATATCCCATATACTTCCAGTAAGATTCAGCAAGAGCCCCGTATCTGCCCCACCCCATCCAACATTCCTCTGGCCAGTGCTGGAACTGTTGAGAACCAGAAAGTGCTCTTTGTGAATGAGCTGGTAGCACTGAGGTGAGTGCTTCCCCAGAGAGTGAAATGTCACAGGGATAGTGCTCATGTGCTGTGTCTCCGTGTGTGCCCAACATGCTGTGCGCTTATAACACTGAGGCTGTGGTGGGAATAGTGACATATGAGTGTATATTTACAGAAGGTGAGGTAGAGCCACCCAAAATGTTGAGAAGTAGGTCCATGCAAAGCATTTTGAAAGCAAACATGAGTGTAACCTCTTACTATGTGTACTGAATTCACAGAGGGAGAAACAGTTTGGGGTCAGCTATCAGTAAGTGGTGAAGGAACTAATAGTGCCACTGGGAAGAAGTAGTCCCATTATGGAGATGTCCCTTTATCCCACACATGGAAGTTGAAAAATTACTTTGTTCCTCCAAAGAAGCTAATAGGGCCTGGAGGGGAATTACTGTACAGCAGGGTCCTCTCTAGGGCACATCTCACAGTCACTATAGTTCCCTGTCTTTCCCATAAGATTTAAGTCTGAGTTAGTGGCTGGTAATAAGACAGAGGAGAAACCTACAGAGTCATCCACAAGCAAGGAAAAATTGACAAGAATAGCTTAATTGCCATGACAGGCAAGAGAATCAAGTTCCTGTCAGAGAGTGCAGTGTCACTGCCTTAATCTGAAGACAGGCACCCAGGAGCCCTCAAAAGTGATGCCCCTGGGTCTGCTCAAGCACTAAGACTTGCACCATATGGCTAGAAGTTAACTGCGGAGCAAGCAGTTCACAATACTGCGTCCATGTGTCCATACCCATGTTCAGCATGTGAAAATAATGATTGCTCCAGCCTATATCCTCCCTAAACAATTGAGGCGGGTTCATCTTTAGTTAGTTCAGCCATTCTCACAATAGGGTCTGAGGGATACTGTACATATTAAAATGTGTGAATACATCTTCTTGAAACATTATTAGGTTTCCAGCCGCAGGACCTCTCAGTGAATTTAAATGGAAACATACACAGTAGTCCCTGATATATTATGGAAGATAGCATACAACATACATACTATTCTATGTCTCAGATGATTTGAATTCAGATAAATTTTCAATGAAAGTAGTGCAGTGATAACTCATAACCTTTCCATGAATATGAAATACCAGAAATTGCAATGCCGTTAGCTTCAGTTTTAGTATTTCCAGTAGCTGGGCAGCCTGTGTTAATCAGCCTCATTTAGGGCACAGCACGGTAAATGGATCATTGGAACATCAGGAAACACACTGTCATGCCAGAGCTAGGACAACAAATGTGCCATATTAAAATGCTCGGGTTTCTAGGAATAACACATCTAGACATCTCAGAACCTTTATATTGCCCATCGTTTTGAGAAAGACATTCTGATTTACACAACCACATTGAATACACACTCTCATTCACCTTGTTTCATTCATTCATTTAATCAACAAGCCTGAAACTGACAACATGCTCCCTGCAAGTGTGTGGGAATTGGTCAAGGAGATGAGTGTCCATGTGCTGAGTGTCCACTGTCCCATTTGAGGGGCAAGAGTATAATAAAAATAATAATCCAAGCAGTGGTCGCTGGTGTCAGAAAGACATGCAGACATTTACAAATCAAGGTCAAGTTACCGGATAATGAGAGAGCTTCAGCAGGGAGACCTACAAAGATGAAGCTTGCACGGCACTCGACCCTAAAAGAATGAATCACCAGGAGGAAGAGGAGAGCAGAGAAAGGAGACTAACACATCCAGAGATAGAGTAACCTGTGCTGAGATGTGGAAAGGAAAGAAGCACAGAATCTTAGGGGACAGAGTTGATAGCGTTGAACCAAGTTATGGAAACAACCCAAGTGTGCTGGGAAGAAGACATGGCCTATATACACAGTGAGATACTAATAAATATTCAGTAAAACCAGGTGGAATCTTGCCATTTGTGACAACATAAATGAGATTGAAGGGAATGATGTTCAGCAAAATAAGTCAGAAGGAGAAAGACAAATTCTGTATCATCTCAATTCCATGAGGACTATAAAGAAAGCAATAGAAGGAATGGACACACAAAATATACCAAACCCTAGAAATCTGATTGTAGAACTGAGGTCTCCAGGGGACTAGGGAGAATATGGGAAGCAAAGTGGAGAGGGAGCCCCACAGATTTTGGCAGAGGATCATGGGGGCCTGGCGTGGGGGGGAGGTGGTAGATGTATGAACCTGTACCCTTAAACCATATACAGTGTTGTCAAGCTGTATGAATGATCAACAAGGAAGACACAGGGACAGGGGCAACTGGGTGACTTATCACCCAGAATTTGCATGTATACTAGAGCTCAGAAGTAGTCAATGCATTCTTCAAGGACATTTTGATTGAACTCTATATATTCAAGTGATATATGATGCTATGCACAGTTACATGTCTTTTAACATTGTAACTGTCTGAAACTTCTCAGAGAAAGGCTGCTAAAAAGACTCTCTGCTCTACACAAACCTTAGAATGAACCCTTCCCATTCAAGCACTTCTACCTTGAATCTGTCCACCAAAGTATAGTATTGGCAATATGCTATGAGAATCCCCAAGCCTTTGGTTGCTCCCATTCAGCCTTCCTATTCAAAACAACCACTTTTTTAAAACAATGGGAGTAAATTTAACCAGAAGGAGAACATAGGATGCTTCTCTTGTGTCCACAGAGCACAGCACACCACAGACTCTCCATGGAGGTGGGGAGGATGTCTCAGCAAAAGGATACAGGGATGAATGAGGAGGAAGATCAACAGAGGGTAAGAAGGAGAAAGGAAGAGCAGAAAAGGAGAAGAATGGGGGGCAGACAGACTGCAGCCCTTCTTGTGTCTGGGCATGAGCCAACAGCAGAACAGCCTGCCCACAGGAATGCCAGGAACCATGTGTTCACCCCATGACAATCTTGGGGAGGGAGCTAGGCCACCTCTGATGCACAGGGGTGCAGGGACAGAGGGGCACAGGGCTGCTCCTCCTGGGAGGAGGTGGGGCTGGGTCAGCACCCAGCTACACTGGCCCCAGCTTTCCCAGGCCTCAAATGCAGGAGTCTGCAGGTCCCCAAGGCCTCAGATTCCTGAGAGCCCAGGGGTTTTAATCCCCAGCTCCCCAAGCCCAAAGCTCCCCAAAGCCACAGCTTCCTCAGCTCCTCGCTGGGCCCTGCCTGAAAACAGCTCCCCTGGGCCTTGTGTCTGATGTTGCTGTCACCGGCATGGACAGCCTTGAGCAGAAGGAACAGCTGAGTCCAGGGTTGTTGGGGAGTCTTGTTAGAGGGGGAAGTTCAGGGAACAGGACACAGGAAGTGACATCAAAACCCTCCATGAGCCACTCAGAACTCTGAACCTTGATCTCCAGGCAGCCAGAATCTGACACAAAGGTGGCTCTCTTGCCTGGAGGCCCTGGAGCAGACAACATGTTTTGTCGCCTGCCCAGGACCCCAGGGTGCAAGACCCGTAAACGATTCCAGGGCCTTTACAAAATCTTGCAAGGAAGAAACTGGCCTTGCTGGTCATTCGCTGGGAGGGCACCAGAGGTAAGAAGGCAGCCAATGGGCAACAGGCCAGCACACTGAGGTCTCAGGGCAACCCTGTCCGTCCTGGTGTGTATGTTTGCATGTGTGTGTGTGTGTGTGTGTGTGTGTGTATGTGCTTGTCAGTGTGTAGTCCGGGGAGTGGGGATCATGTGAATGTGTGTCCTACTGTGCAGAGTCCTACAGCCCCCAGGCGGGCAGGTCATGGTACCACACAGGACCAGGCTGGCTTGAGGGACCCAGGCCTTTGGTGGGCCTCCTTCCCCAGGTAGATTGCACTCCACATGTTCTCTCTTCCCAGGGGAGACAATCGAGGTGCCGGCTTGGGGAAGAAATTTAAGACTCACAAACAGTCCTACTCTTCAAGAACAGACCCCCGCTACCCTGCAGCACCGGGTGAAGGTGTGGCAGGTCCTGGGTACCGCACCTGGAGCCCCTGGAGGAGGAGAATAAAGGTGAGAGGCGGCATGTCCTCGTGCTTTGGGAGGGCAGGGGCAGAGCCCACAAAGAGGCTCCCAACATGTCTGGGTTGTACCCAAAGCCACTCTGACCTGGGAACCACATGTTTGATTCAGGGACAGACACCGGGGTGATCAGGACTGGGCTGCCCTGAGGGTGCTGGCTCGGACTAGGTCCTGAAGGCCACATGGAAGGGCGTGTGGTGACAGTCATGCACTTCTGTCTCAACTCCCTCTCAAACAGAAGATCTGACTGAGGTTATCACAGAGGGGAAGCCACCAGGAGGACAAGAGGCAACTTCAGGACATACTGGGGTTCCTGATGCCACTTGACCCCGACTCAGGGAAGGAGAAAGCTGTCTGGATCCCAGTGTGATATCTGGTTGTCCTGAGCACACCCCACCCTGGCTGTGGGAGGGAGAACCCAGCCAGAAGCCCTCCGTTACAGCTGAGGGACCTTAGTATACCCCATCATGCTTGGGGGAGGTTGAACACTACCCAGGCCCTGGCATGACCCCCATGGGTCCAGAGCCCACCCATCCCTGGCTGGTGGAAGGAGGACCTGGCCACTTCCCTGCCATAACCCCCATGGGTCCAGAGCCCTCCCCACCCTGGTTGAGGGAGGGAGAAATCAAGTAGGACCAAGTCAGGACACCCACGGATCCTGAGCCCACCCTAATCTCGCTGGGGTAGAGAGAACAATGCCAGGACTTATTTCCATTCCTCATTGACTTCCCTGTATTTATTTTGGTTTTGTTATCTTCTCTTTTTAGTGTTTTTGTTTTATTGATATTTGGGTTTATATGTTTTAAATAAATAGTTGACTTTATATGCTTCATTTGAATTATACTCTCTTTGGGCTATAAGAAGTTCACAGTGAGCTATCTTCCCCATTGTGCACTTTCAGACCATTCAGGTCACCAGTGGAACCCTCGCACTCCAGCTCTCACTGCCTCTGCCAGCCCTTGCACCCCATCTTTTTGCTGCCTCTGTTCCTCCTTCTATAAGTGGTACTTCACCGTCTGCCACATCTTTCTGAGGGACTGAGTTGTTTGGTGCACCCTGCTATGAATCATCACACTTTCTGGGAATTGGTAAGCCCAGGTGGATCGAGAGGAAACATAAAAATGATTCCTTGGCATTAAGCATGTGCACACTTTCCAGGCAGTGACTGCATCCTTGAGGGACAGAGAGAAGTCAGAGAAGACCAAACCTCCACCCCTATGGCCACAGCTGAATGGAAAGGATGTGAACCTTACAGAAAAGGACCCCAGACAGAATGCGATCCCCACACCCAACGACTGTGTCAGAGTTACTTCCTGGGGTTCACACCCCCCCCCAGAAGGTCCATGATTCCCCATGGACAGAGCACACCCAGACCACTACTTGGAGATTCAGTCCCCAAACTGAGGCCATTCTTGCAAGAGGCCTCTGCCCGTAGGAGCAGCATGGGGGCCACTTTGGGAACTGCATGTCATTGGTGAGGGGTGGGCATTGGGTGTGAGCACAAAAGACTCAGTGATCAGAGGGTATGTGGGACCCTGCCCCCGGTCTTGCACACCAGTGAAAAGGTCAGTCCTGGGGGTGACCTGGGTCAGACACTCAGAGTCTCTGGATCCCTCTCCTGGGCAGTGGCCCTGCTTGGAAGACAGGGACTGAGATGCTACAATGGGGATGCCTGTGTCCTGGGGGTGCCCAGTGTGGAGCACCTGGGGAGAGAACTGTCCTGAATCCCAACTCCCCACAGCTGGACTCTAGCAAGTTCACCCCATTTCTCCTTTCCTGATCTACACTCACCTCAGTCTTTCCTGAGGACCTGCTGGGGCCCATGTGCACTGGGATGTCTCACCCGTCAACATAAGGACCAACGATCTTTGTCCATGAACTGTGTTAAGGGCTGAAGTCGGAGGGGTTCTTCAAGGAGGGTCAACCAGAAGGGCACATAGAGGCAGGTTGGGCAGCCCTAGCTCTCTGGGTACAGGATACCTCCCATTCTGTGGGTCATCTTTGGGTAGCCCCTGAGCCTCAGCAGGAATGATGCTTCCCAGGGCCCTGGGGACTGGAGCCCCGAGGTGAGTCAAGACCTATCCCGCCACCAAGTCAGTGGACATCAGCCCCTCCTCCAGGGCTGTGGAGTATGTGGTATTCCCTCTAAAGCCCTAGCCAGAGGACTCTGAAGGCCGTAGAACAAGTGGGCGAGGACAGAAGCTTCCAGGGAACTGGCTGTGGATGGCAAAGTTTTGAGCCCGAATCCAACTTGGACCCCGAATTGACACCCGTGGTTCTTGAGTCCATGTCACACTGTTTGGGAAGGGAGAACACTACCAGGATCTATTCTCATCCCTCATTGACTTCCCTATAATTATTTTATTTTTGGTTTCTACTTTTATTTGTTTCTGATTTGTGGTTTTTGTTTATGTTTGTTTGTTTGTTTTGGTTTTAATACATGTTTGCAATCGAGAGTTTTCTTGTTATGCTTGGGTGTAACTGCACTCTCTTTGGTCTATAATAAGTTACAGCGAGATATCACCCCATTATGTACTTTCAGACCACTTAGGTCACTAATGGAATCCTTGCACTCCACCTCTCATTGCCTCAGCCCAGCCCCTGTACCCCATTTGTTTGTTGTCTCTGTTCATCTCCCCAAAGTGGTATCTTCATGGAGTCTTCATTTCAGAGGAACTGAGACATTTGGAGTAACTTGCCATGAAACATCACTTTTTCTGGGAAAGTGAAAACTCACAGACCTCCCAGGTAGTGCCAGGAGTTGAGTCTTTTCACTATAAAGCTCAAGCCACTGCAGCATGAGTTCAATCCCCGGCCTGGGTGCAAACCAACATGGATTAGAAGACTAATGCTTACTTGCCTGCTGCTCCCCTCAGCAATGCATTTCAGTCAAACCACCTGTTCTGCTCCCCACTCTGTCTATGGTGAACCCCTCCCCCTCCCCCCACCTCTGGCTGTACCCAAGTTCTTGTATGTATAAATAAATGAGAGAGAGAGAGAGAGAGAGAGAGAGAGAGAGAGAGAGAGAGAGAGAGAGAGAAAGCTCAAGAGTAACAAGAGGAAATGTGAACATGAGTACCTGGCAGTAACTACACACACACTTTCCCAGCAGTGACTGTGGCCTTAAGGGAATAGAGAAGGAAAGAGAAGGCCACACCCCCTCCTCTGTGGCCACAGTGAAACCAAGAAGGATGTGAACCCTGCAGAGATGAACACCAGACAGGAACACAGTCCTCACGCATATGGGCAGTGTCAGTTATTTCCTGGGGCAAACAAACCCCCTGGGAGGCCCCTGCTCCTCCAGATTCTGAGTGCATACAGGCCACTGCAGGCAGAGGCAGTCCCAGACTAAGGATTGTCTTGCCAGAGGGCCCTTGCCAGGGTGGCAACACGGGGCCCTCGATGGGAAGGGCCCATCAGCAGTAATAGGCAGGTGTGGGGGTCTGAGAGCAACAGCCCCAGGGACCAGGGACTAGCTGAGACCCAGCTGGTCCCTGCAGACCAGTGAGAGAGTCAATCCTGGCAGGCAGAGTCTCAGATTTCTCGCCTGGGAAGTGCCCGTGCTAGGAAGGCTGGCACTAAGATGGTGCAATGGGAGTGCCTGTGTCCTGGGGGTGCCCAATGGGGAACACCTCAGGTGAGGACTGTTCTGAACCCCACTTCCTCACAGCTGGACCCTGGCCAGTCCACCCCATTCCTCCTTTCCTGGTCTGCACGTGCTTCTGTCTTCTCTGGACGCCCTGCTATTGCCCATGGGCACCTGGATGTCTCACCCATCACCATGAGGACCAAGGATCTTTTTCCAAGATCCCTACTGAGAGCTGGAGTCAGAGAGATTCTCTGTGGAGTGTCAACCAGAAGGGAACATGGAAGAAGCCTGGGCAGCCATCCCCCTTCTTGGTGTGAGGACAACCTCCTTTCTATGGGTCATTTTTGGGTACCTCTGAGCCTCAGCAGGGATGGTGCTCCCCAGTATCTCAGGAGACTGGGGCACTGAGGTAACTCAAGACCCATCCAGCTACCAAATTGGTGGATAGCAGCCCATCCTCCAGGGCTATGGAGCATGTGACATTTCCTGTAAAATAGTAGCTGGAGGACTCTGAAGGTTGTAAAACAGGTGGGTGAGGATAGAAGCTTCCAGGTAACTGGTCGTGAGTGGGACAGGTTTGAGACAGAGTCCCCAACCACACCTGGACATAATGGTTTGCAGGGGCTTCAACAGAATGGAAGTGGGCTGCTTCCTCTGCACCAGGGGGTCAACAGGTGATACTCAGGTCACGGGAGCAATGGCAGGATTAGAGCTTGTGATGGGGAAACCACCCTCTCGGGAAAAATCCAGTCTCCTGCTCTGAGATCATCGGTCTTCAATGCTCAGTTATCTTTTTGTATCTAGAGAGCTTACACATAAAGTCAACTCTGTAATGACACAGAATCCTTTCTAACTGGGTCAGCAAACAGATATCACATGATTTTCATCACATATTCAAGTGTACCTGGTTAACTCCAGTCACAGGAAGCAGTGCACACATTAAGCAGGCAGAAAGGAAGGCAGCAACAAGCTTTGCACAAAATACGAAAGTATATGTCTGAACAATCAAAAGGACAATTATCATATATTGTCTATTCAAAACACTGATGACTAAGCTGACAAGACACACAATAACATTTATTGGCTACACGATGTGTCAAAGTGCATGTTTCGGTAGCACTGAGATTTAATAACAAAAAAGAGAAAATGCTTGCCAAAGTTACACAATCAAATGTCTATGTGGGACCAAGGGTGCCAGGAAGCACTCTCCAGAAGCCTTATCTCAAGAGAGGGAGCTTTGGGTCAGGGACCTTTAGAAACCTCTGTGGAAACCTCTCAGAAACCTCTGAGAAAGGCTATCCCTACAGTCAGAGGTGAGCTGAAAAGTGTGCTCTAGCCAGGCCCCCAGCCTGACCACATTTGGAGCCCAGAGGAGGATCCAGCCACCACAGGGGCAGATCAAAGGCCGTGGGAAGCACTCTCCAGAGGCCATATCTCAAGACAGGGAGCTTTGGGTCAGGGACCTCACTAAACCTCTGTGGAACTGAAAAAGGTCTATCCCCACAGTCAGAGGTAAGCTGAAAAGCACACAAAAGCCAGGCCCTGTGCTTCACCACAATCTGAAGCCCAGAGGGAGATCAACCCACAATTGGAGCTGCCCACAGGACCTCCAGACACTCCCCCCCCACACTTGAATTAAGTAAATATAGAGAGATGGGATTGTCAGGGATAGCGCCCATCAACATACCCATAGTACCACTGCCCTCCTGGAGTTCTGGTGTAACAGTACTGGACTCAGTAGGTCCACCAGCTTCTGACATCCCAGAAGGAATACCCCAAAGCAATGCCGGCCAGTCCAGTGACACAGTGGCCCAACACATAGGATAAATTAGATAACAAGCAGCAGGGAGGAGAAAAATTACAACCAAGACCAAAATTACAAGCAAGACCTCAGGGGAAGGACACACCACAAAAAGAAAACAAACCATCAGATTGCAACAAAGTGACTAGGAAGGATTTCTCAGCCTTCCAGATAGAGAATATAAAATCATCATGATTTAAAAACTGCAAGAAAGTGAAAAGGAAAAGAACAATATGAGAAAAATAATTAAAGATCAGAAGAATGAAATTGAGTCACTAAAGAGGGGAGTGAAAGAAATGCAGGAGATTAAAAGATCAATGGAGGAGCTAAAGACC